TGTTGACATCTCAAGTATTTAAACTAGAAGCATTTCCAGCGAAGTTGTTCATAGTGACATCAATTACCACTAATGCCCAATCTGCATCTGATTTTGGATGCAGCTCCAGCCACTCTGCAAAGCAATGTTGCTGAGAACTTCATATCAATCTGCTTTTTTATATCCTTGCCAGAAGCTGCCGTTCTAGGAGGGAAATGCCGAGGACACTCACTCTGCAATGCAAATATATTTTAATCACTTCCTACCTGGTTTAGACATTTACAAAAGAATCATTATCCCTAGAAAATCTCCCTTCAACCCAAGAATCAACTCTTCATAGTTGCTCACAGATCTGTGGGGGATGACAGGCAGGGGTGCAAGTTCCAGCTGAGCAGCCCCTTGATCACTCTGTGTGTTGACATGTGGAAAAACTGCAAATGCTCTTCTGCTCACCTTAAACTCCAGTTCCATTGCTGTGACACTCTCACCCGGAGGTACCTGACTCAGCTTCTGGATGTGAGCAAAGAGGTTGCGTGCGGGCACCTCAGTGTTTCCACAGGTGGCTGCTTCAAGCAAGGCCTCGTGGATGAAGATATACTGATCCTCAGTCTGCACCATATAGTTTCTTTGTGAGCGCATGCATGTCACATGCCCATAGATGTCCACTGTCTTCTCATGCTTCATCCTCTCAAGCATGGCATCAATTACAATGAAGCAGCCTGTCCTGCCCACACCGGCGCTGTAAAAGCATGGCACAAAAACATGAAATAGTACTTCCTTCAGAGTCAGTTCTAAGCCTTCACCAAGCCCTGCCCCAACCCACTGCATACTGCAGGGACTGATAATCCTCAAGTTCACACTTTCTCCGATGAACCCTCAGAGAGGCAGGTTAACGCACCTGAATAGAGCAAATGGAATGAGGATTCTGCACTATGGTCTCTCTGCCCCCACCCTGTGCACACTTTCTGAGTAATGCTTCTTCTTACAAAACCAGCAAACCCAAATCTTCCTTGGTGGAGGCTTTTTGAAGTGTATAACTTGGTCCTGCTCCCAGTGCACAAACCAGCACAACCAAAAACACGCCAACAAACAACAAATGTGATGTCTGACAGCTGAGAATTCTACAGCAGGACATCTCCTTGCTGCTGCTCATGTCAAATTCCTAACAGGGTTTTAATAGGGAGAGAGCGTGTGTTAATTATACACCACTCCCATCTGAACCAGAGCATGAAGGGAGAGCATTAAATACCGTTTCTAAGGAGTTCGTGAGAGCTGCAGTGATGAAGTGGTTTGTTCAGTAATAGTTCCCACTCAGCTACAAGAGATAAATCACTGGCCAGATAAGATGCTGATTCCTAGTGAACTAATGTTTGTGGCTGAAGCAGTCATTTCTTTCCATCCTGAAGTGCAGCAAGAGATTATATGAGTGCACATGCAGATGGTGTGTCATGCTCTGTAAATAGATGGCATGTGTATGTTTGTGCAGAATGGTGTCCCATATGTTTTTGTGTTGTGAATGCACATACTTGTTAGCAGAATATGAATGTTTGAGCTGTAAGTTTAGGTTAGGCATAACAGTTTCCTGAATTGTGTATGCATGGTGCTGGGATATTTCATCTTGCTGTGTGGTTCAGTTAGATATTCTACCTTGAAGGTTCATTTTAATATGTTGTAGCTAGCCTAAGCCTTCAGGTACAGGGGGGAAATAGAAGCAAGTCAATAACAGAGTAATAATTGCACATTTTATGGATGCTAAAGTATGCTTGCATTTTATGTGAGATGGATTTGTGGGTTCCTGTCATCAGTCTTATTGCCATTGGTTGTTGTGAGGATAAAATGGAGAGAGGAAAAACCATGTACCCCACCTTGAGCTCCTTGGAGGAAAAGGTAGGATAGAAATGCAATAAAATAAATATATAATAAATATGCAGAATTCCCCTCTGAAATGTTTTAATTTTTAAAATATTGTTGTTGCTTCTCAGGTAAAAATAGTGAATTAAGTGTTGCGATGATGGGCACTGACTGCAAAGTGCTGCTTATGCTAGCAGAGGGCTATAATGCTGATTTCATTGCTCTTGCAGCAGCAGCAGTGGCGCCAGGCTGACTGTAAATCCCAACAGGTGCACCCCTGCCAAAATACAGAGACTGGCAGGCCCTTCCCATTCCTTTATACTACTAGTCCTTACCTGCAATGTACAACCACTGGCCCAGCATCAGGGGGGTTGCAGGCTTTCACTCTTCTCAGGAAGGCTAAGATCGGGGTAGGGTACTCCGGCACCCCATGGTCAGGCCAAGCCATAAACTGGAACTGCCGCAGCTCCCGCTTTTCACTGGACCCATTCTATGGAAGAAGCCAAAATATGCCAGCTAGTGGTGGTGCAGTGGACAGTGGGCTTATTTCTCTGGTTTAGAAATTCCATGCCTTCAGACACCTCAGGGCACAGGATTACTGTACACCAGGGATGGGAAACCCTTTGTTTCAGCCTAAAGGCTGCACTGCCTCATGGCCACAGCCCTATGGTGGTTGGGCCAAAACAGAGGGATGGATGACAAAAGCTCTCTTCAATTGGTAAAATTTCAATGGGTCTTTTTGGGGTGGGGAAACAACAGGGATGAGTGTGCTACATTAGCCCCTTCATCATTTTGCCTTCCAACTTGTGGAAGAGGACTGTGTGAAGTAAGCAGCCTTTTGTGACTGTAGATGCTCCCTGCATGTTGTACAGCCACATTCTGAACATCTGGAGAGGACTATACTCTCAAGTGTTCACACACACAGCAGATACATACTACCATCCTACATGGCACACACAGACGTTAATACTCACCTCCCCCCACCCTACAAGTAATTAGGCTTGGGGGAAAAGCCTAATTCCCAGAGGGGAAAGAGGCAACATTTATGGTGATTGCAGATTGGGAGGGGACAGTTAATTCTTCCCTCCCCAGCCGCCATCTCAACAAAGATTGCTCTTGGAAACAGCCTCTCATTTGAGCCAATAGGAGGCTGCTTTCTGTGGGGAGGGGGCAACTTTGGGTGGTGGGGCCTCAATACATGGGAAAGGGAGGGTTAATTCTTTCCTCTCTAACTCTGCACACTCATGCCCCCTCCCCCAATTAAGGCAAGACTATTGTCTGCCCAGACGAAAGGCTGTTTCAAGCCCAATTGCTGCTGGATGGGTGTGTGTGACACTGAAGAGGGGAGGCTGTGGGTTAGATATGGAGGCTTCAGGGCTGCACGTGGCACCTGGCTGGTGGTTCCTCATTCATTCCATACACTTCCTTTCACAATATGTTCACAATCTGTTATGTTCTATTTATGTTTCATGCTGAATTTTTGGCTGTCCACTGTGATTTGTTGTTTGCTGTATTTTATCAGCTGCTTTGAGAGCCATGGCTAATAGCTGTATAGATAGACGGAATTCCTCAGGCCATTGTAACCTTCAGGTTAGTTCACCAGCACAATGAGAACAGATGGCTTGGCCTTCACTGCAAGGCCAAGATGCACAAAGAGTAAGCTCCTTGGCAGAATAAGGCAAGACTGGGCTGGGAGTGAAATGTATGTAGATGGCTCTTCCACTTCAGCCTGTATTTGATGCTGGGTTCTCTCACTTCAAGCATCTGTGAAAGAGTCAGTATAACTCCTTGCACTTTCATGTAACTCTCTGGGAAAGATACTTCCTGGGCGCCCTTGCAAGACCTTGGCAGCCCACACTTTCCTTCCTCCTTTACCTTGTAGAGGGCAAATGTCCGAACTGTGTACGTGGCAAGTTCAACTGTGTCCAGCAATGTCACCTGGATCAATCCATAGGTCTCTGTACCACGGCCTGGCCAGTACTGGTCACACTTCACCTGCAATGAGAAAAAGGAAATAATGGGTCAATGTTTGGGGGTGAAGTTATCAATGGGCTCCACATATGCCCCTAAGATGCCTCAGAGCCTGGTTTTCTCGCCTTACTCAAATTGCCCCTGCTAGGAGCCAATGGCTGGTATAGACACACTCTGAGTAGTGTAGAAATGCAAAACACCTTTACTGCATTTGGCTGAGGCTTACAAAGCAAGTAGGTATTTTTGTTTGACCCTCTACTTTGTTCTGCAAAAGGCCAGTAATACTGGATGGTCTGGTAGGAAACAAGGAAAGACAAGATACTTGGTGCTCAAAGGTAGGAATAAGGAGCAAGAATGTTAATGGGCAAGGGGAGTGCAGCAGAGAGAAATGGTCTATTCAAAAGCAATTTCTTCCCCTGTAATTTTCTGTCCTTTCCCTGCTCTTTGAGAAGATTGGTGTCTGTAGACAAATGTACTGATCTTTCCTCCCCCTCAGTGGTGAATGTGGGAAGCCTGGCCACAGTCTATCATCCTCTGCTTGGGAATCTGCCAGGGTTCCTGCCATGACGGTCACTGGCAATGTCCTCTCCAGGAGACAGCAGGTGGGGAGAAGATCCTCTAAGTGGGGACGGAGTAGTAGATTCTTGAAGGGCAACTGAGACAGCCAGTTTGAACCCAAAAAATGTCTAGCAAAAGAAAAAAGTCAAACGGAGCCACGGAATGGACATTTTGGGGGTTTTATCTTGAGCTTCTCCAGGCCCTGAAGAAATGCCAGTGTATGCCTGCTAGAAGGAGCCCCTCTAAAGGATAGCTGAAAATGCTGCTCTCTGCTGAAGTAGGATTGGCCTGCTTTGCTGGGAAGGTGCCAAATATGTGAGAGATGCATCAAGCTATGAAGCATATTTTCATCTAGTTCTCTCTCTTTGTCAAAGCCCAAGACCTGGAAGTGTACTTCCTGTCTATAAATGCGCTGTGGGCAGTCCACACAGCAAGGACAAATTTTCCCACTCCCATTTGACTAAGATGCATTAGTGGGAAGCACTAACACATTTTCCTGGATGTAAATTGCTCTCTGTATAGGCTTGCTCCTCTATTCCATGGTGGAGAGAGGTGGCAGGGAAGATGTCTTGTTCCTTTGCCCAAATCTTCCATATTTTAAAAACTAAATTCCATGTGTGTCTGCTGCTATTCCTCTCCAGCTCCTGCTTCACCTATCCACCCATCCGTCCCTTGTACTCTGCTTCCTATTCTGCCTCTCCCTATTTCTCCTTCCCAACTAAAGCCTGGCTACAACAGAACCTCTACAAGGGAGAATGAATGAGGATCATCTGGACCTGTCAAGTAATGGTAAGCTCAATTATTAGCTGTGTGTGTTTCTAGGGAATGGAGGACATGGAACAACACCCTAATTAGAAATCATTGGTGTTCCGCCTGTTAATTGAGGATATTTTAATGGGTGGGCTTAGTAAACATGCCTAGATAAGAGATTTAAGTGCACCCTAGAACTGCTGGGGTACAACTTCTTCACCTTCAGAATCACTGCTTAAGGTGAGAAGCAACTTCCTGGGCAGTTGGGGAAGTCTGTAGAGGAGCTACAGGTAGCTGGGATCCTGGTTCTCCTGAGGTCACAGAAGTATGTGCTCAAGAAGGAAGGTCTGTTGTCTGGATTACTGGTAAGCTGCCTCGCCCAAGTGACAGCTAATATAGCAAATGGCAGCACAGGCCTGGCTGTGTCCAACTGCTTCTTCAGCAAATGTCACCCTTTTCCTGCCCAACTCTGGGGAGACTACAGTGTTTATGTTCAAACACAAAACAAACTTTCAAGTACTCTATCCTAGGGTTTAATAGCAAAGCCCAAACTGGTAATTGAAAATTATTTATTCATGACCAGATAAGAGTCACTCACATTTTCTGCCAAATTTACCCATAATGTTTATGCCCCATTTTCAAGCTCTGTAAATTTTATGCTGAAGCTGATGCACGATGGCACTAAACCAGATAAGAGAGTCTTTCTTCTGGCATCACTCGCTTCTCATTAATGTCACGAACACGCTTACAACCTGGAAATTCATTTACTGCTGGCAGTGCCCAGTGGCTCCCTCAGTTGCTGGGAAAATAAGGAGACCCCCTTAATAAAAGTGCTACAAAGGAAGAACAGCTGGTTTAGAATATATCTTTACCAGGCAGGCCACATCCCAAGACCCACTGTCTGCAAAATGGGATGAGAGGTCTCTAATATACCTGGGCTTCAGGGCACTTTCTATTGAGCGGTGCAGAAACTGGGAGAGTGCAAGGGAAGTTTCCTATGGAAAAGGCAGTCTGGGCCAGTTCCCCAGAACACATAGGGCCCTGGAGACTCACATATTGCTGATTCTGCTGCCAATTGCAAAAGCTTTGGAGGCAGTGAATGAATATGCTTTTATGTAGTATGCAAACATGAAAGGTGAGGATGATATGTACCACGAAGCTGCCAGGCCCTGCAGGTCATAACAAGGCACCAAATAGGTACACCCCCCATTGATTGCTTTCCAGAAGAAGTGGAAACCTTTTGAAGCATTAAGCTCCCCAAATCCACGAAGTCAAAGTCCAGAGCAACAATACCCACACACAGCATTGCTGCTGGGCCTGAGAAAGTGCTACTTGCTAGCATTCATCTGAAACCGTGCTCAAAGGTCCTAGGCTGGGAGACAGCTTGGAGATAAGAAAAGGGGCAAGCTTGAGCAAGCACTGAAAAAGACAGATGTTAAAAGTGAACCCTTTCACTTGGAGAATCCCCAAGAGCTAGTCTAGCATTTAGATCACACATAGGCAAACTTGGCCTTCCAGATGTTTTGGGACTACAACTCCCATCATCCCTGGCTAACAGGACCAGTGGTCAGGGATGGTGGGAGTTGTAGTCCCAAAACATGTGGAGGGCCAAGTTTGCCTATGCCTGGTTTAGATCAATCTTTTACTCCCACCCATCAGGTACCTGTTTGTCTGATTCCACCCTGAAGCTACTATGACTACTTAATTGATGGTTCCCTTGATGTGGGTGCATCATATCTGTGACTGGTAGTAAGGCAGGCTTCTAAAGAGTAGTGGTATGAACTCAGTTCAATGCAGAGGAACAAGTGTGTCAGTGAATCTTCCTTACCCACCATACCTGGCTGGATGGTATGCTAACTCACCGAAGTATGTCACCTTGAGGGTACTACTGCATCCTCCATTTCATAGGAAGTAATTAGGAGGGGGAGGAGGGGAAGTGTGCTACTAGGAGATAATGTGCATCTCAACAAGCAGCGAGGCAGGAAAGAGACAAGTGCCCAAAGGGCCTTACAGAACATGTTATCTTGGAGAAACACACTCTGTGGAGCATCTTCTGATAGCTGGACAGCCCCAAAACAAAGAAAAATGGACTTTGGATATTCATTTATTCTGACACACAAAAAAGGGTCATTTCATGTTTACCTTAAATGCAAGCACTATTCTAAAACTGAAAATCCTGTATTGGAGTTCCATGGCCCAGTTAATAACCACAGACAAATACTCTGTCTGCTGCTTAAATGCAAGCACATGGAGGCATGTCTACTTGGCAAACTGTTTGTGCAAACTAACTCCCAACCTATTCTCGCAATTTTAGCTCTCTCAAGACAAATGTGAAGGAGAAGAATTGCATTGGAGTGGTAGTGGGGAACTGCTTCATGCACAAAGTTGCTTGGCACACAAAGTTGCTGCCACTTTGGTATGTTTGCAACAGCCATTACCTGCCCCAGAAAACTACCGTATTTTTCACTCTATAACACGCACCTGACCATAACACGCACATCGTTTTTAGAGGAGGAAAACAAGGAAAAAAATTCTGAATGAAACAGTGGATGTATCATTTTTGTGCTTCATGCTGTGGCCACAGACATGTGATCTGATGGTGAATTTGGGGTAGCTCAATGCAAAGATCCTGAGGATCCATGTGGATCCATGCTTTTTAACCACATTTTTGCACCATTGCAGCCCCAGGCAACAGTGGGTGTGTGATTTTTGGGGGGCAGGCTGCTATGTGATCTGATGGTGAATTTGGGGTGGCCCAATGCAAAGATCCTGAGGATCCATGTGGATCCATGCTTTTTAACCACGTTTTTGCACCATTGCAGCCCCAGGCAACAGTGGGTGTGTGAATTTAGGGGGGCAGGCTGCTATGTGATCTGATGGTGAATTTGGGGTGGCCCAATGCAAAGATCCTGAGGATCCATGTGGATCCATGCTTTGTAACTACATTTTAAGTGGGGAGTGAAGGAAAAACACAGAAGGGACAAGAGAGCGGTGTGCAGAGAAGCAGCTGGCTAAGAAAGCAGGAGAGGGATTTAACAGGAGGGAGGAAAAAAAGGCAAACGTTTCCACAAACCGAAGCCAGCTTTCTCTCTCCTCCTGCATGTTTTCTGGCTGCCTGCGAGGAGCACGGAGAGGAATTAGAAGGAAAGACCTCTGCTTTCCCCTCTGCTTGCCTGGAGGGGAGGGGATTTGCCTGCTCTTTGTTCCGTTTGAGCAAATACAGCAACGAAACAGAGGAGGGTGGGCAGTAAGACCCTGAGGCAGAATGCAGGAAAGCAACCACTTCCTCTTTTCAGGTTTCCCTTCTCCGACACAACGCGCTTTGATTTTTGCTGATTTTTGTTCCTGCGCTCCCCTAATCGGCTCCAGGGACCCCCCCCCACATTCGCTCCATAACACGCACAGACATTTCCCCTTCCTTTTTAGGAGAAAAAATCTGCGTGTAATAGAGAGAAAAATACGGTATGTTAGCTTTAAGTTCACAAACACTTTCAGAACCAACCTATTCCCTACCTCTGCTTTTTTCTAGAATGAACACAGTGCAACAGCCCCCTGTCCTCCTCTTCCCTATTGTATCCGTTTCATGTATATGGCAGTATTTGGGGTGACTGCATATCACTCTGGTTGCCCTCCCCACAATAAAGGGACATTATAGGAAAGCAGCTGGTACAGAAAAGGACAAGAAAATACAACAGGTCAATCATCCTTGTGGAAAAAGGTTTTGAGGGTTATTTAGCTTTGGGGGGGAACATTACTGAGGAGGGGCTGGATAGAGATCAAGAATGGTATAGGAAGAATGACAAGGGGAAATTGTCATAAACCTTGAGGCTATTCATTGAAATTAAAACGAATGGTTTTTTAGTTAAACAAACTTTGCTACAGAATGCATGATTAACTTTGCTGCAGAATGCTGTTATGCAGCTAGAACAAATTGTTTTCAAATCAGGCTAGATAAAATATGGGAAGGAAAGAAACATAAATGGCCACTACGTCAGATGGTGGGAGAATAGCAACAGAGAACAGATTCTCATTTTCATTCCTACTTTGTAAAAATGTCTATTATATCTAGGGGTGGGGGCAGTGTCAGGAAGTCAACTATACAGTGGTACCCCGCAAGACGAACGCCTCGCGAGACGAAAAACTCGCAAAACGAAAGGTTTTTTCGTTTTCGAGTTGCCTCGCAAGACGAATTTCCCTATGGGCTTGCTTCGCAAAACGAAGCTTGCCCAGGGGACAGCGGGTCTTCTCTTTTGAAGCAAGGGGCGGCGGGGAGAAGCGATCTTCTCCCCGCAGCCCCAGGTCCGGGGACAGCGGGAAGCGCTTCCCGCTGCCCCCGGACCTCTTTTGAAGCAAGGGGCTGCGGGGAGATCGCTTCTCCCCACCGCCCCTTGCTTCAAAAGAGGTCCGGGGACAGCGGGAAGCGCTTCCCGCTGCCCCCGGACCTCTTTTGAAGCAAGGGGCTGCGGGGAGATCGCTTCTCCCGGTGCTCCGAAGCCGGGCGGGGGGGAGGGAACACCTGCCCCCACCGCCCGGCTTCGGAACGCTGCTCCGAAGCGGGGCGGGGGGGAGGGAACACCTGCCCCAGCCGCCCCGCTTCGGAACGCTGCTCCGAAGCGGGGCGGGGGGGCGGGAACACCTGCCCCAGCCGCCCCGCTTCGGAACGCTGCTCCGAAGCGGGGCGGGGGGGCGGGAACCTCTCACCCCGCCGCCGGGCATCGGAACGAGGTCCTGGACCTCTTCTGAAGGCAGGCGGGGGCAAAAGACTTTGCTCCCCCCGCCTGCCTTCCTGGGACAGCGGAGACTTCTCCGCTGCCCCGGGCGATCTTAAAATGCTGGCGGGCGGGAGCGAAGCGTTCGCTGCCGACCCCCAGCATTTTAAAATCTCGGGGCAGCGGAGACTTCGCTCCCGCCCGCCAGCATTTTAAAATCGCCCCGGGACAGCAGGGGCTTTTAAAATGCTGGCGGTCGGCAGCAAAGCCCTCCTGTCCCCGGAGCTTGCGGGGCGGGAGGTGGGAAGAAGGGCTTTTCTTCCCACCGCCAGCCTTCAGAACAGCCTTCTGAAGGCTGGCAGTGGGAAGAAAAGCCCTTGTCCCCCCCCCAGCCTTCAGAAGAGGTCGGGGGACAGACTGTCCCCGGACCTGGTCTGAAGGCGGTTTCCCTAGGAACGCATTAATTGATTTTCAATGCATTCCTATGGGAAACCGTGCATCGCAAGACGAAAAAACCGCAAGACGAAGAGACTTGTGGAACGAATTAATTTCGTCTTGCGAGGCACCACTGTATGGACCACTGGTCTGATCCAGCCTAGCATTTCTTATTAGGCACTGGCAAAGACTTAGCAACAGCTGTGCAAATTCACGATGCGATGAAGGAGGCTACTTTCACACTGCTGACTGAATGCTTAAGGGGGCAGGGGGAGATACACGGCAAGGTCTCGCTAGCCCTGGGAGAGCCCCGCGACGTCGCACGGCTCTCCCAGGGCTAGCGAAGCGCTGCGCTAATCCCGAAGCTTGGGGCGTGCAGAGCTCAGCGCGCCCCAAGCTTCTGGGTGCCGGCAAGGTCTCCGCTAGCCCTGGGAGAGCCCCGCGACGTCGCGCGGCTCTCCCACGGCTAGCGGACCGCTGCACTAATCCCGAAGCTTGGGGCGTGCGAGCTCAGCGCGCCCCAAGCTTCTGGGCGCCGGCAAGGTCTCCGCTAGGCTAGCGGAGACCTTGCCGGCGCCCAGAAGCTTGGGGCGCGCTGAGCTCCGCACGCCCCAAGGTTCGGGATTAGCGCTCCGCTAGCCGTGTCTAGGCTGCGAATAGCAGCCTGCTTCCCGGAGCGTCGGGCGCCCTGAAAGCAGAGCTCCAGGCGCTTCGGGAACACATCCGCAGCGTGGGGAGGCTTGCAGGAGTTCCCCACAGGGCTCCCCACGCTGCGGATAGTTAACAGGTACCCCCCACAATAATCTGGGGTTGATTCCTTTTTGCCTAGGATGGAGCATAGGCTGGTCCCTATTGCACTCTCTGTAACTCAGTTCTGTCCTCTTATCACACAAAGCACTGGTGTTCTGCTTTCAGCAATAAAACTCAGCAAAGTAAGGAAGGATACATGCCTGCGTTTGTCTTTTCTCCCTCCACATACATCACCCCCCTTCATTCAGCTACTTCCCTCTCTCTGCAAATTCCCCATTTCCAACCTCCTGACTCAAGTCTATTTGACTAAAGAGACGAGTAAACCACAGTCCAAGTGCACATCTCCCTGCCCTGTGGTTGGCATGGAAACATAAAATATTCTGTGAGCATAAATGTTCACTACAAAAGATGGTACTTTCTGGGGAACCCTCCGCCCAAGGTTCTCCACACTGAAATCCATGTCTCTGAGGATATCTTTAAACACATGCATCTTAAGCTCAGTGACACCCAGGCAACTGGGAAGGGCACAGCTGTACGGGGGTGAAAGAACCCTCCATAAATCCCTGTGCACATTCAAAGAGTAAA